GGACTGGCTGGGCATCGGTCGGCAGGTGGTGAGCAATTGCATCGTGCATCACTTGCTTTGTATATTATTATTATTACTATTGTATTTTATTTTATTTCAATTATTGAACTGTTCTTAGCTCAACCCACGAGTTTTCTCACTTTTACTCTTCCGATTCTCTCCCCCATCCTACCAGAGCAGGGGGAGTGAGCGAGCAGCTGTGTGGTGCTCAGTTGCCAGCTGAGGTTAAACCATGACAGTAGTGCATGGTATACCGGTTTTGTAAAAATTTCTCTTGCTTCAAAAAACCCACCACTCTATTAGAGACAGAACTCAGCCTTGACAGTCACAGCCTCAGCCTACTGTCAATTTGAACATCACAGAGATTAAAAATTTGGATTTTGCTTTGGGTTGAATTATGGTTCCATTTATTATAGATTACTCATCCTTCTTATATGTAATTTATGTATAATATTATTAATGCACAACAGAAGTGTAAACCTTGGTGGGAATGAAAGGGAGAGCAAGAATGCTGTCTCCCTTATTTTTCTTTCTAACTAAAACAGCAGTATCAAAGACTATGTAAGTGATGACTAAATTTTTCTGTTACTTGTCATCATCTGTCTGGCATCTCAGAAGCATGTATTTTTTACATGCATGGGATTATTCTTTTTTTAACTCCCTCCTCCCCTCTAATTTTACTCTGGAGCTTTAAGACTGTATTGTTGTCAGTATTGCATGTTTCTTCCTCATTGGGACAGAACTGCTTAGAAAATATTTATGGTAACTTTCTGTCAAACCATCATTATTCCAAGTTAAGAAAAGGGCATCAGTATCATGAAAGCATTTGGCGCCAGGTAGTACTGGTGGTGGACTGTCACTTTTCTGAAACAGAAATTTCTACCCTTTTACAATCCCACTAACTATTTTAACAGTTCATTCTGAAATTTACAAATGCTGATCTAAAGCATGAACGTAACAAGTGGTGGTCATGAAAACAGAAACCTAGGGAATTCACTTTTTTTTTTTTTTTTTTTTTTTAAGAAAATCACTACAGTATAGGATACTTGGAAAGTGTCAGCAACCCAGAGTGTCACTGTCTTAAGTTAACACATGACTGAGTGATTACAGGCTGCAAGCACATGTGGAGTGATTTGAGATATTGCACTACGCACTTAGCTCTCATTCTCTCATTGTCTTGTAAGACTCCTGAAATGCAACTCAAACTTTCCATCACTGTAGGAAAAGGCAGCTAACACAGCACTTACGTGGGCACTTTTTGACGCAAAAAGCCCCATAGGTGTACTTGGCATTGTGATTATGCTCCAGTTGGAAGGTGGTAGGATTGTATACAAAAGTCTGGGGGCACTGTGTGACACATGCACCACTATCATTGAAATTCATACAGGCCTGCAAAAGAAGGGAGAAAAAAATACTCAATTAAATCATGTAGCTGCTTTTGGTTTGGTTTTTTTAGTTTAAAATACAGTCCTGATTGTTCAGACTTGCTGCAACAGTGAGAAATATGATATATAGTTTTCTAACATTCATTTCGGTTACTTAGATTTCTTGCTAGGATCTTGGCAAATACATGACTTATAAAAGGGGCTCACTGAGCCCCCTTAATTTCAAACACAGTTGACTGCTAGAGCACTTCCTACAAAAACATAACCACATGGTAATTTGTTTCATAACTATTGTTACTACTAGCAATCAACTAATTCACAACTTGATAGGACATTCTAAAACTGCCAAGAGTGAACAGCTATTTATCATAGTCAGTCTAATGACTTTTTCAGAGGTCCAACCTTTAGATTTCTTACAGCATGAGTCCATCATCCAGCTGAAAACTGAAATTCCCAATTAGAGAGCAAGAGGGATAAGAACTTCTTTTGAGCTAGCACAGGAGGGGGTCATTTCCTTAAGTGGCAAGTTCAACAAGGTCAGTTGCTTCACACACTGAGGAAAGAAAATAGGACTTTGTATCACTTAGCATTCAAGCTCAGCCACCCACAGCTGACAGAGGACACGGTCCTGACAAATGAAGAGGCAAGTGTGTGGATAAAGAAAGTGATGGTATGCAGGGAAAATAATTGACCATGCAAGATTGATAATTAGTAATAGAAAAACCCCACCGATTTTGACACTCCTTATCACCACACACGGTGTCTATGGTTTTAACCACAGCTTATAAAAAACTGTTGGAGTAATATTCACAAAGCATACCATAAATGTCAAATTTCATATGAATATGAAAGCTGTAGCCTGGCTTGGATCCCTCTAGCAGTTTAAGCAACCACTGCTACTGGATTCTGCTTCCCCACTAATCTGTTTTCCAGAAGCCAGGTTGCTTTAGAAGTTTTAGTCTAGGGATGAATCCTTCTGGTCCTTTTCCTGGTTGTAAAAAAAAAAAAGATGGTTTTGAATCTTTAAAGAGTCAACAAGTATACCAACATGTGTGTCGTGTCCCCTCCCCTCCAGGGCTGGGACTGAGAGAAAAGTGAAAAAGATTCCTCTGTTCTGCTGCTTTTACTAACAGTCCTTATCTCCATTCAGATCAGGACCAGCAGGACTGAGGGAGGTTACTTGTCATGTCAGAAGATTTCATAAGGGAGAGGCTAATAATGTAACCAAGGGAGAAGGACAAAATCTGCTGCTAAAAGGGACAAACAGGGAGTTCCATGATGAAGGCGATGTTCTATATGGAGCATGAGCTAAGCCAAACTGCTGATCCTGTCTCTTCTGGTTCTTTAAAATGCCTATTACAAAACCTGTTGGTTTCTCACAGAACCACTTTTTTTTTTTTTTTTTTTTTTTTTTTTTGTTCTTACGCAGATAAATAGTCAGTCAGTTCTTTACTAAGAACTGGATGGATGGTCAGTTCTTACGCAGATAAATAGTCAGTTAGTTCTTTACTAAGAACTGGATGGGAAGTCTACCCTACGAATAGGGTTGCATCACTTTTCTGGTTCCATTGGGCACTCAACCAGGCCCTCCTATACATTTCAAGTTTTAGATCCAGTTTGGTTTTGAATGCAAGATAAGAACATCTCTAAAACTTTGTTTTAGCATGTTTGCTTGCAGTTATGTCAGATGATGATCATTGTCTTGCTTTTAGAACTGAATATGCAAATGATTGTATGGCAGCATATGGAGGAGGATGGATGAATTTTATCTAGAAATATTAAAACCATATTTACAACAGGATGCTGTTGCAAGCTGCCAAAATACGCTAAAGGATTTGTAATGCTTCATAAACTGTACTTTTGCTTATTAATAAATACTAATTTAGTTAGTTTCCTCAACACATTTTTTACATCTGCTGTTGACTTAAAAGGTACTCTATCATGTACTTGACAATCCTCTGATAGCGGTTTAGCAAATTCATAAAGTAAAGCACACCAATACTCTTCGGAGAGATAGCACTTCTCAGGAAAAGCTCATCTAGAAGATTTGGGAACTTTTAATTTATTACTATAATGCTTTGTATACATTTGTAATTGCTTTGATAATATATGCAAGCTTCTAGCATTCGGTGCTAAATGCTGCTAATTTGTGAATGAAAGCACAGGAAAATACACAGGGAAAAAACAAAGTTCTGTATCTCAGCTGAAAGCTAAGCACAGTTGTCTATAGCCTAAAGGGTTACACTTTTCACCCAGTATGTACTAAGCAAGTAATGACTAGTCCTGAAAATTGCCAGACCCCTGCTGAATTTCTTTTACATTGCTCTCGGGCCAGGAGTGAATGAGAATAAAGCCCTGTGTGCTTCTCTGCTGGATCAGAACAAACATGCTAGTTGATTTTTAGCATACATATTTCCATAACTGCCACAATTCAGAAAGTCTAACACATTTTCTTTCAGTATTACAGAACTTATGCTGCAATTAACTTGTCCTTAACCTTTGAAAATGGACGCACATCAACACATCAGCTTTGAGGACGTTCCTCAACAGTCATACGGGAACAATAACTGCACTTTTCCTCTTTCCTTTACCTATTGAGATTGCACATGACACGGGAAAGAATGTTATTTTCCCATCTCTCTAGTCCAAAGCCAACACAGAACTTCCAGTGGGCGTTGAATCAGGCATACCACGCACACTGAATATCTACTTGTGCAAAGCCCCAGCCACAAAGAACAGCTTTAGTAAAACCTGTTAGCAGTTAAGTCAGGCCATCACTGCATTTCATCAGCAGCGAAAGAAAAGCATTTAGAATGTGTTTTTGAAGCACAACACCTACCGCTATCAAACGATATCTGAACAGTGAGCAAGTTTCAGGACCAGCCAGGGAAAGATTAATTTTTGCCGGTTCATTATGATCCACTTGCCTACACTATCGAAACATCTGCAATTTTCCACACCATAAGATCCTTCCTCCCAATCCTATCTGGCAGATATTAAAAGGAGCCTACCCAACTTTGTAGATATTTGTCTCTTCAATCACTTGGGTACCTTTGAAAATCCACCTCTCTGTGCATGTTCTAGGTCTAGGCTTCTTTTGGCCTAGGTTTGCTTCCCCTGAAAACATTAGCAAAACTTGTCTCTGCAGCCCAGTGTGATGAGCTACACATTTTTTGAGATCAGTGTTGGGTTCTGAAGCTGCTTACATTATTATAAATAACGGACTACAAGACAAATTTGTCTAAAGGCCTGTATGTTCAGATTGCCTATTTTTTTAAGGAAAAAGTTAGCCTTTTCCTCTTTTAATCTTAAGCACACGTAGTAGCATGCATTTGAGGTAGAGTATTTTGGAAACCACTTTCCTTCCATCTCCACTAAGAAGCACGCCCAGTAAAAAAGCTGAATTTAAATCAAGTCTGGCAGTAATAGGGAACAACTTTCACAGAAGAGCTAAATTGTATTCTTGACTTTCAAATAAAAAGCACACAGAGCAGTAATAAAAGCCATGCTCAAATGTAATGATAAATACTTCTGAAAATTCTCTATCACCTCCAAAAGTTAATTTTAGAAAAGCAAAAGATAAAAATCACAGAGATTAGCATATTAATGGTTCCCAATCTGTATTTACAAATCTCATAAATCTGTTAATGGGTAATATTAAGTAGATAAGTGATGTTAATATAATGTGAAAAATATTAAATGCTAAAATTTGCAGTCTAAATCTGGGAGTGTGCATGCAATACATTAAAGGGGACAAAATTGTGAATTTCATGGATTAAAGCATTAAGAACTTGCAGTGTGACTGCCAGGAACAAGAAAAATGAGAATTCTCACACATACAAAGCAATCAGTGTCTTTAGGGCCGGAACAGCCTCCAGCGCATTCCCGGTGGCAGCAGTCGCTGACGTAGGGCCCATAGCACCGTCCATCACACTGCTCTGCACACACTGTCTTCGTTACTAGGAGGAGGCAGGAAAAATTATCATGTCAGAATCAGAACTAAGGAGAGAGCTCTTCAACTGCACACTGAGGAAAACAACAAACCGAACAGCATGCTGAAAAAACCCTCAAGTTTTAAGGTAATTGCTTCAATGGTACTGGCCACTCATACCCTCCGGAATACCTTCACAATACCCTCTTTAGGAACATATATGTTGCTCAAGGACTGCGGAAGAAGAATTTTTAAAGTGTTTGCTCTTACCCTTGGAAATTCAGGTGGAATATTATTTTAAAATTATTAGGCTTTGTAAACAGCTGATGAAAGGATATGACCCCCCCCCCCAAAAAAAAAACCAAACAGAAGAGCCCACCAGTTCCATGTGAGTTTTCCCTCACAAAGAACAGCAACACTGAGTAAATGAGTGAAATTCAGAGTGAGGCCAGCAATCTCAGAGCCAAATGCTGTTCTTGATGGCAACCAATTTGACAAATAGGCAATGAGATAACAGAACAGAATACAACCTGCAGATTGTAACACATTTGGAAACACCACTTACCTTTTCTAAATAACACAATCCAGCCTTCATTCACAGGGAAACAACTATATTCTACCAACTGGAAAGCACAGTGATTTAAGTGGTACCACACTACTCTACAGGGCTTAGTCTTGTGCAAAGAACAGTCAACAAGTGGAGCATCTTCCTCCCCTCACTCAGCTATAGCCTCTATTTTATGGAAAAAGAAATTAATATTATCTGCAGGACTATACCAACCACCGCCTACAGAATGCCAGGAAGCTGTGCTGTCAGCTGTCTTTTGATAAAAGCAGGGATGTTACACTTCTGTAATTAACCTTTACCATTTATTTTGTTAAAAGCATTTAATTACTTCTCTATGGAAAACACTTTTCAAGAAGCCAGAGAAGGTAAAATTCCATCCAACTTTCTGCTTGATTTTACTATTTAATGTATCAGTAACTCCTTTATAAGTACTTTCCAATCCAAATTCCCTCCACCACTTGCCAGAAATACTTAAGGTAATGCCAAAGCTTCTTGATATACACAATATTTGTTTAGGACATAAAAATGTAAATAACCAAAGAGAAGTCATCATTTATAATCTATGGAATAAAACGATGCACTTTTAGAGTAATTCCATCTTGCCGATACCAGAGGCCAACACCCAGACAGAAAACACTTTCGTGCCTTATGCAATTTTATTTAAGAAATAAGGGCAATTTCTGTAAACACACTTGCTGTCAACACTGCTAGAGAAACAGATTAAAAGGGTTTGTTTATTTAAGTAACAGTATTGATAAACTTTAAGACAGAGATATGAAACAGCGGCATACGTTAAGCAAAACACACATGTTGCAGTATGCCACCACCACACCATTAGCTGATAGGGACAGAGTCTTATCTCATGAAAATGAGTGAAGACCTCATTTAGTCAGTGACTGCATACTGTTTTCTGCCAGTTCAGAAATTGGTCCATAGCTCTTTGATTTGCACTGGACCAGGCACTATCTGCTTTGACATCAAAGGGAGGCAAGGCCCAGATTTATCCTGCCTTGACGGAGGACCCTATTTTCCAGAGTCTCCCCCTCTGCCATCAGTGGAGAGGCACAGAAGCAGAGGACGTTCAGTTCATTCCATTCCATAACCCAAATCCTTTGTGTTTACCTGTGTAACTCCTCAGACAAGGAGTTGGCCCCCGAGCCAAGGGGGCACCATCCAAACGCTCTGCCTCCCTTCTACACAGCAACCGTTCATGACCACACATACCTAATTTTTTAAAATGACCACTCCTCTGCCACCATTTTCTGCCCCTCTGGCTGGCATTACCGCTGCCAGCAGCAGGGCAGGCCCCAAGGCTATGCACTGAACCACTCCTCATGGCAGCAGCATGGGGGGGCACTAAAATGGCTGCCCCTCCCCACTGCACATGCTCAGTGCCCCCTTCTAGAAGGTTCCGCAGGCAGAGGTCGCAGTGTCTAGGTTCCCCTCACCAGCACCACCCCACTTATCACACCCTAAAAAATCACAGTGAACCAGCAGCATATTTCTTTTTTTCTTTCTTTTCCTTTTTTTTTTTAATTGCACTAGAGTCAGAGAGCCTAGGAGCCAAATTTCAGGTGGATACAATCAACGCTGTTACAACAGGAAAAGAGAAGAGGACATGATACCACACCATGGCCGCTCACCGGCAGGATGCTGTTAAAAAGCATTCCCTGCTGTTGCTCCACAGCAATTTAACGTTTTGCTTAAACCTGGGAAGTTTTGGTGTAAAGCACTTCTGTGTAGACGATTAGTATGAGCCATCTAATTAACTCAATTATAATTTATTTACCTCAGTGCCAGGTGCTGTTGGGAGAAGGTCAAGATGTCCACCATCACCATATAACCATTGCTTCCCCATGGAGGAGGTTTCCTGGCAGACTTTTAAAAGGGCAAAGAGGTCAAGGCCCAGCAGCACGTCCCATACCATTGGCTGCAAGAGGTACTGGGAATCCTCCAGCACTGCCTCCCCAGAAACAAGCCCCGAGGAGGTGAATCCCCTGCCTCGAGGGGAAGAGGGACCTGCCTCTCCCGTGCCTGGTGTCTGTGCCCACAAACTACACTGACCACCCCTGGGCATATTTAGAAAAGGCACGGTCTTCCTGTCAACTTACGAGCTATTACTTTTAGCGAGCCAAGATCTGTATTTGCAGGATTACACACTTCTTTCAAGCTGAGCTGCAGATAATAGTGCTTCCCTAGGCTGCGTAGCTTAAACAGCGGTGGGAAACGAGCTCCAACAACAGCAATGGATTTAAGCAATTTACTGACATCTTTTCAGCAGTTTTCACACAATTAGGCTAGGACAAAATCATTTAAATTATTCACCCTCCTCCAGAGCCCCACAGTAAGGCTTGTGCAATGTATAAAGTTACAGGTACTGTCTTTTTTTTTTTAAATTCCCTAACTTTTTAAGAGATTACAACAATTTATTCCAGAGTATGTTTCCTTTTTAGAAAAGCAAGAGCACCCCCCCACACCAGGGCTGACCTGGAGGGATGTGGCCCCCTTTTCAGCACAATACTTAAACAGAATGCCTTCAAAAAGCATACGCTGCTTATGATTAGGCACCAGCTTAATGAGGGCCTCTACCATGCTGTTCAGGATAGGGAACATTTTGAGTTTTCCTGAAGACTAGGAAGTTATAAGGTGGTTTGCAAAATTTACAATTACAGCAAGGGTTTGTCACTGTTCTTCCCTAATTGTTTATTTTGCTAGGAAAGCAAACAATACCAACAGAAATGCCAACATTTCATTCTAGGAAAAGGCCACAAGATACCATATTTATCTTCTGGTTCACTGCATGCTGTATTTGCGTTATAACTGCTATTGAAGGTCCAGCTCTGAGGAGGACCTGTCAGATATCTTCAGTGGCACCACACGCCAAGACAGAAAAGAGCTTAGTGGGCTCTGAATGTTTATATGGACTCATATTCAAGACAGTTTGCAATGAAGGGTTTTCCCCAAAGCAAAACAAACACAAGGCAATACTATGTATTGTTTGAAGTCCTGAAACAATCCGATTGTTCAGGTTCCAATAAACATAACTCAACAGTTCAGCTTCCTGCAATCATTATCATGGGGTAACCCTATAGAAAATGTACATAGCTGCACTGGTTCAAAAAGATAGCAAGATTTTTCCCCAAAAACTTTCCTCCAAATACAATCAATTGATTTTATAGCTGTGACTCAAGACCTATTCGAAAGAGTGAAATGTAAAGGTAAATATTACCCAAAATATCAAACTATATGTTCAGGCTGATGAATGTTGGTGGGTGGCTCCTAGAGGGGACATCTTGCTCCAGACGGTGCCACAGGAGGTAGGGAGGACAGATGGTAGGGAACTGGGCAGCAGCCGCTAACAGGCAACGTCAATGCAGAGCAACCCTGCTGCAAGCTGAGAGAGAAGAGTGGAGCAATACTGACCTCCTCCTCCTGCTACCTAGTGTGGAGACTGTTCACAGGGGAGCTGGTGGACAGGGGTGATCAGGAGCCCTCACATCACGTCCCTCTTCAGCCCAGACACACACCTGACATCTAGGAGTTCTGGGCTGGGACCCCAGAGGAATTTTAGGTGCCAGATACTAGTTTCTTCATTCAATGTAACTGAGAAGAAATCCTTCACTAATCACAGCTGAGGCCCCAAGTTTCGAACCAGACTTTTGAGGGTCAGCACAACTACCCACCCTGACACCTACTGACCCTTTGTGGGACCTCAAGAAATCTGAGGGTTTGGCTGGACAGAACTGTCACAGTTGGGGCTGGGACAGCAAAGGACAATGGCAAACACCAAGGTCTTGAAAAAAAGTGCCATGCGTTGGGACGGGTTTCTGGGGGAGTACAGAACACTGACTGTCAATCTCTACTAGTATTTCACTGCGATATAGCAATAGGCTGTGTTGGGGATGGGGTGGAATGGGCACTTCATATATGTGTGCAATTAATCAGTCTCTCTTATTGTTTCCCTTAATCTTTAATTATGTCAGGGCATTATAAATCTATCAAGGAAAAAATGGGAAGTAACAGAAATCAATGAAAAAGTCTTCTGAGCATGCAAAGTTATTAGAGAAATACAAGGATTTTAATTAAAGACGCTGGCTCCAAGCAAAAATGCTGGGTTACCCTGTTTGATCTAAGCTGCTGGTTCAGCTCTTTCGGTGTCCCCCACCAGGCTCCCGCTTGCCTTTTGCTGCTCTAATTGGGTACTTACTGCATCGGCACCTTCTTTTTCTCAGCAACATCAGCTGCACAAAGACTGTATAAATACAGTTATGCTCAGACCAAACTCCTGTACGCATACACAGTCATGGAGCATTTTACATTTGCTGAATGTTTATGTTTTGGGTTTGATTTAAAGGCTATTTGCCTTTTTTGCATTCCCTTAGTTGGACCTATACTTTAATTTGGATTTTTCTCTTTTGTTTCCAGCTACGTTCCTCTAGGACAAAGTGCATAATCTGTCATTTTAATAAAATAATGTATTCATTTGTAAAAGTTTCAATTTCAGTTCATATGAAAAGTAAAAAAAACCCAAACTCTTAACATACATCAATAGCAAAAATAGTAACAACCTAACCATAGATTTTCAAATTTGATTATGTCCTGGTTTTGGCGGGGACAGAGTTAATTTTCTTCCTAGTAGCTGGTACAGTGCTGTGTTTTGGATTTAGGATGAGAATAATGTTGATAACACACTGACGTTTTACTTGTTGCTAAGTAGTGCTTACGCTAGTCAAGGACTTTTCAGCTTCCCATGCTCTACCGACTGAGAAGGCTGGAGGTGCACAAGAAGCTGGGAGGGGGCACAGCTGGGACAGCT